ATCCTGCTGCTCTATGCCTCTTGATTCATGAGTTCAGTCCATTTTCATTTAGGGTGTAATGATATATGAAGACTTGCTAGAACCATTTTTTATTTTTTTTCTTATTGCTCTCTGTCTCCATTGTTTCTTTGCCTTGTGTTTCGGTCTGCCTTTTTTAGTTTTGTTAGTTCATTTATAATTTTTTCTCTTTTATGTTTTTGGTTAATAAACACAAACCAGGTGATGGTTAATAAACAATCCTCAGGTGATGACCTGAGGATATTTTTCCATTGATTCTTTTTTGAGAGAGAGACTGGAAATAAGCTGAAGAGGGAGAGAGGAAAAAAAACATTGATGTGAGAGAAACACATTGGCTGGTTGCCTCCTGCAAGTGCCCCAGCTGGGTCTGGGGATCAAGCCTGCAACCAAGGTACTTGCCCTTGACAAGAATCAAACCCAAGACCCTTCAGTCCACAGGCTGACACTCTAACTACTGAGAAAAACTGGCTAGGGCTGGTTTTTTTTTTATTTTATATTATCTGTCTCAGCTACAGATTTTTGTTTTGTGTTTATCATTAAGTTTATGAAAAAAATTCTTCATACTTACACTAGTCCTTTTTCTTCTGATTGTGTCTCATCTTTATTCACTTATCAAGTTCAGTCTTTCTTTTCCTTCCCTTTTCTATTTTTGTTGTCATAAAGTATGGCTTTTTATGCCATGCATTTGTTTAGAAATTTCAAAAGTTATACTTTTTTAAAAAAAAATTATTATCCCTCTTTAACCTTCATGCTATCGTTAAGTATTTAATATTCTATTCTGAAAAATTTTGCATTTTCCTGCTTCTGTCACCTGAAAGTTTTGTATACTTTTGTATTTTTCTTTCAAGCAAAGAGCTCCTTTCAATATTTCTTGTAATGCAGGTATTGTGGCAGTAAAAATCCCTCAGCTCTTATTTTATGGGGAAGTTTTTATTTCTCCTTCATATCAAAAGGATAACTTTTCTGGATATATTATTTTGGGATGGTGATTTTCCTCTTTCAATAGGTTGAATATTTAATTCCACTCTCTCCTGGACTGTAAATTTTTTTTCTGTAATGAGGTTTCCTTTGTAGGTTACAGTCTCCCTCTCACCCCCTGGCTGCTTTGAAATTTTTTTCTTTATCATTAACTTTTGATATTTTTTATATGGTGTGTCTTGAAGAAAGTCTTTTGTATTAAGAAAAATAGGTTTTCTGTTAGCTTTTTGGATTCAAGAATCCAGCTCTTTCCTTTTGTTTGGGAAGTTCTTATTGACTATTGGTTTGTATGACTATTTAACTCTGTTCCCTACTCCCTCTCTTTTGGTATACCCTTATGCTTATGTTGCTCTCTGTAATGGAGTAAGATAGTTCTCATAGGTAGAGTTCCTTTATTATTTTATAAATCCTTAGTTCACTTTCTTTATCCTCCTGGGTCATATCCAAGTTCCTACTTTTAAAAAAGTTACTGCTTAGTTTACTATTAATTAGAATGCTAGAATCATATTGGGAGGACTCAGTTATTTTAGGAATGAATCAAGACAATAAGGGATGAAATCCTTCCCAGAGAGGACAAATGAAGAAACTTGTGTAAGATTTGAAAGTACTAGTACTATTTACAGTATTTCTCATGTTGTCTTCCTACGGGATAAAACAGAGCATCTCTCAAAAGTCCTTCATGTTTCTGTTCCACTGGTTCTTGAAAAGTCTGCCCTGGAACTGGAAACAGTGCCTACTTGATCTTGCAAATGCAGGAGGACCCAGCACATCTAATTCTAGAAAGAAAAGCTGCGATTGATCTTTGAATTCACTAATTCTCTTTTCCACCTGGTTGGCTGTTTCAAATGTTCTTCAATATGTTCCTCATCTTATTTATTGAGTTTTCAGCTCCAGAATTGTTGTTTGGTTCCTTCTATACTTACAATCTCTTTGGTAAAATACTGCATTTGTTCATTAGTTTTCTTCCTGAGTTCAATGAACTTTTCTCTAAGTTCTGTTTTTATCTCATCGAGCATCTTCATAACTGCAATCTTAAACTCTGTCATTTTAGTCACAGTTTTCTAGGAGTTTGAGTTTGGTTTCTGGAGACTTTTCTTTCTGGGCTTCCGTGTTACCTTGCTTGTTCATGTTATCTGATGGATTGTTTCTCTGTGTGGACAATTGAGGTAGTGGCCCATTTTCTTCATTAGATATTCTTTTGCTGTCAGTAATTCATCAGGTTAATATATAGGGTACTTTGTTTTGTTTTACAGTAGATAGTGTTAGCACATATTTTGTTTTCTCTTACCTGCACTATTTGAGCCTCACTTTTAAGGTAAATGCTGGGTATCCATGGGAAAGTAGGTGTTCCTTGTGTCACCAGTTCACCTTAATTATAGGGCACTACCACCATGATGGGAGTTTGTGGTAGGGGGTGGAAAAGGGTTTTATGAGCTCTCACTAATGGTGCTAGCCAGGCTGTGTTTTTGAAGGCATATCTTCTGCCTCTATTGAGCTCTGCCAAGATGAGTAGGGTGGAGGTGGGGGTAGGGGGTGCGGGGTGAGTTCACTATTTATAGCCTCATTGAACTATTTTTTTTCTGTTCATCAGATTATTTATTCACTTGATTCTTAGATTCACTTGTTGATAGATGTATATTTGTTGTTCATAATTAGTATCTTTACCTTTTTCTTCTTCTTCCTCTTCTTAAAGGATACCTTTCAGCATTTCATATAATATTGGTTTGGTGGTGATGAACTCCTTTAGGTTTCCTTATCTAGTGAAGCTCTTTATCTACCTTCGCTTCTGAATGATAGCTTTGCTGGATAAAGTAATCTTGGTTGTAGGTTCTTGGTATTCATCTCTTTGAATATTTCTTGCCATTTCCTTCTGGCCTGCATAGTTTCTGTTGAGAAATCAGCTGACAGCCATATGGGTACTCCCTTGTAGGTAAATAACTGTTTTTCTCTTGCTGCTTTTAAGATTCTCGCTTTGTCCTTTGCTCTTGGCATTTTAATTATGATGTGTCTTGGTGTGGTCCTCTTTGGATTCCTTTTGTTTGGGATTCTCCGCGCTTCTTGGACCTGTAAGTCCATTTCTTTCACCAGGTGCGAGAAGTTTT